TTTACCCCCTTATACATATCTTGTATGGCTTTAATATAAGTAATCCGTACTCCTTTTTTTTTCAACGCTTTCTAAAGCACTTCTCTTGGTATACGGTCATGAGCTTTTTCCAAATCAATAAAAACCATGTGTAAATTTTTATCTTTACAACGATACTTTTTCATTAATCTCCTTAGTAGATAAATCGCCTCTGTAGTTGATCTACCTGGCATAAAACCAAACTGATTCTCAGAAATACTTGTCTCCAATCTCAACCTGTGCTCAATTACTTTCTCCCACAATTTCATGGTGTGGCTCATGAGTTTAATCCCTCTATATTTAGTACAATTCTGAATGTCTTCTTTATTTTTATAAATAGGAATTAATGTACTTCTCCACTCATCAAGCATTTTCTTGGACCTAAAATTACATTAAATAACTTAGTTAACCATCTCACCCGTTTTTCACCTAAACATTTCCACGCTTCGATAGATATACAATCAGGTCCGTTGGCTCTACCATTTGTCATTTTCTTAAGAGCTTCCCTTACTTCCTTATCACGTATTATTCGATAGAATGACAAATTTTGTTCTCCTTTACCAGTTACTAAATCCTCCAAGTTACTAGATGAACCCTTTCCATCATTGAAAAGTTTGGAAAAGTAAGTCTCCCATCTATTTTTAATTTCATCATCTGTAACTAAAATTTTTCCCTCTTCATCCTTAATACATCTTACCTGTTTTAGATCTCTTGATTTTCTTTCCTTACTCTTGGCAATCTTATAAATGTTTCGTTCTCCTTCCTTCGTCTCAAGGCTCTTATAAAATTCTTCAAAAGCTTTAGAACGAGCTTCACCCACAGCTCTCTTAGTTTCCTTCTTAGCCATACGGTACCTCTCCCAATTTTCCTCATTGTTACACAAATGTATGGCTTTAAAACAGTTCTTCTTATACTTGATTTTGTCCTGTACACTATTATTCCACCACCAAGACTCCTTATCTCTCGGACCATAACCTTTTGATTCTCCCAAAACTACTTTTGCAACCTCCCGTATCTTTTTAGTCATATCCTCCCACATGATGTTAGCACTTCCCTGAGATTCCCAAATTCCTTTGTCTAAAAGATTTCGTTTGAAAATATCTTGCTTCTCACCTTTTAATTGCCACCACCTAATCCTTGATGCTACTACTTGTCAACGTTTTTGAATTTTACTCATAATACACACATCAAAGACTAAGACCCTATGTTGTGTCGTTACAGCATCTCCGGGGATCACCTTGTAATTTTTACAAAGTCTTCTATATGTGTTCCTCACTAAAAGAAAATCAATCTGTGACCTTGAGGCTCTACTTTTGTAAGTGATGAGATGCTCATCTCTCTTCTTGAAACAAGTGTTGGCAATCTTAAAATCATACGCCAATGAGAAATCAAGAAGAGTTTGTCCTTTATTGTTTAGCTCTCCAAAACCAAAACCACCATGCACCCTCGCATACTGACCAGTCTCCCTCCCGACATGCCCATTAAAGTCTCCTCCAATAAAAATCTTTTCACTCTGTGGTATGTATCGAATCAACCCCTCCAGATCCTCCCAAAATAATTCTTTAAGACTGACTTCTATCCCGACTTGCGGCGCATAAGTGTTAACAATATTAACAATCTCAAGTCCAATTATCATTTTTAAGGAAATAATTCTGTCTCAAATTCTGCTAACTTCTGCAACGTTCTTCTTCCACTCCTTATCCATAATGATGCCTACTCCATTACGTGCGCTTACTTTTTCTATATACCAAAGTTTGAAACTTTGAATATCCTTAGCTTCTTCTCCACGCCATTTTGTTTCTTGCAGGCAAAGGGTATTTATTTTCCTTTGAATCATAACCCTACAACCTCTACAGATTTACAATTCAATGTCCCAACATTCCAAGTACCAAATCTAATTTTGCTCTCATGGACTAACCTCTTTAGCTGCGTGCGTCCAGAATGACGCGATAGCCCTTGCTCATTTAACACTACATCGGGGCGCCGATGTAGCGGCTCTAATTCACTTATCACTGTACTCGAGCCATGCAGCGCGTTATTTACGGGCAACGACCTAGCATTAACATTATAATGTCTATTGTCCATGTTCATGATAGATTCAACAAAGTTTTACATTGGCTGTTGATGGCCTAACACAATTCTCCTCCTTTACTCGGGCTTGGGACCGGCTATAAACATAAGCGGAGTTAATGTCTATCAACGGTATTATCATAAAAACACTACTCATTAAGTGCCAGTCTGAAGAGACAATCCTATTTCAAAATAAACATGAGGGCATTTTATATCCTTAAAAGAATTGAACTTTTTCTCTGACTAAATACAATGTGGTGAGAAAAAATCTCCCATACAACAGTCACAGATATTGTAATTCTCTTAGGTGGCTCCATTCTTCTTCTTCTTCTTCTTCTTCCCTTTCTCCCCCTCCTCCTTCTTGGTGGTGCTTCTGGAGGAGGAAGGCGGGTAACAGTCAGCATGATTCTTCTCTATTTGCTGGGGGATGTGGTGGATTTGGCAGTGGCAGATGCCAGAATTTTTTAGCAACATATTTCTATCTTCCGATCTTATCTGAAATATTATCATTTGCTAGCTTTGTCATTTCTGTTAGTGGTCTCGTTAGGTCCTTTTGCTTCTGATTTACATGAGGAGTGGAGTATATTTTTTCTGTTTAATATCTTTTTTTTTCAGTTCTTGGAGAATTTCTTGTGTTTGGTTTCTTTTGACCTTTCCTTCAATGATCTCTAGGTTTTTCTTCTATCTAAAAATGTGAAGAAAATGCAACTAGTTTCTTAGATGCATGAATTACTTGCCCTTTGATTCTATTTAGTGTTTGACATCCAGCACATTCACCCAGTTTTTAGATGCTAATACCCATTTGATAAGTATGCTCGTGACTGTTGACTTTATGCAGATGGATGGTCACAGCCTTGCAATGGAAATGGCTCCTGTTATTATGTGGCAAAAGGGGTCAAATCCTGAGTTTTATCGTCACTATTGGAATCAGCTGACCAAACGTCCTTCCAACAAGAGCTTGGATCCACCACCTGGTGCTTCCTGGGACATGCTTAATGGTGAGTCTGATGTTGCCAACAAAAATCTTCTTCTATAATCTAATTGAGTTGACAGAAAATGTTGCAATGGTCTATTTATGGTTTCATCTAGAAAATATTCCAGGTATGTAGGAAATTTCAAGAAACCGCCCTGATCAATTCAACCCTGCAAATGATATAGATCTGAACTGAATATTAATTTTTATTATTAGCAGTGCAACTAATGTATGGCCAGACGGAAGGAGATGAGGCATCAAAACTAGTCTTATACATGTTTGATGCAACAAGTTTTATCGCTAGCTACAGAAATCAGGGAGGGGAAAATGCTTAGATTGAGATATATTAATGAAACTGTTGGGGACTTGTTACGCTTACGCCCCTTGTTTTCTTCCCAAGCTATGTGAATCTCTTAATAATTATAGAGCTGGAATAATACAAGCATTTTTTTAATGAACCAGATTTTCTTCTTACATGTTACTGAAATTTTGAGTATGTGAAACAAGTTCTTCTTTATAACCAAAATATCTGAGTGAGTTTTAATTATTTATTTATTTTTTAATCTATTTGACTGACTATATAGGGGCTCTTCGTTCCTCAGGGGATTGTTAAATAATTGAAAACTTTACATGAAGAAGTGTAATACTTGAACTTTATGCACTCTGAAAATTGCATTCTCATCTTATCTTATACATAAGAAGTTAATTTTACGCTTAATTTTTTTTTGCTGCTTATATCAAAGTACTTTTTTTTGAAGAAATATTTGGTGTAGGGAATAATTTTTTCTTGTGGTGTACGGAATAAATGATAATTGCTGATGGCCTTTTTTTCAATTTATGTTAAATCTTGTGGTGCAGATGAGGGTGAAGACTTAGATGCATCCTCTCCCATTCCTTTGGATGATGGAACCCCCGTTGACTTTGCTGCCATTGAGGTGGTTCAATACCTCATCGAACATCATAATGCAATTTTCACCGATGCAAATGAAACAGTGTGGAGATGAACAACACTGTTCCTTCTTTTTCTGCACTGGATTCAATGATGTGAATATCATAGAATAGGAGCTTCTTTTCCCCCCTCCTTCAACCCTGAATTTTCTTTCCAATCTGGTCAAAGATCATTATATTATCAAGCTATATTTTTGAAGTTGGATGAAGGTCACCAAGCTGGGGAAGGATTTCTAATGCTAGTGTGGAGTTATTCTAATTTTCTTAGTTCTTTTGTTCTTGGTTTGGATTTTCATAGTTTTATACATACGTACATATATATATATATATATAGTTGTGCAGCTTTTACTTTAAAAAGCAATAAAAAGCAAGGGGGATGTACTGCTTTCATTGATGTCTCGCTTGAGAAATTGGTGTAATACACTAATGACCCTGAACTATGCATCGCTTGGATGTTATTGTGGTTATTTCTATGATTCATAATGATATGTGATTATTGTTCATAGTCAATGAACAGAGAAACTGATTTTACCTGACTGTCATGGTCAATTTGGTTTACCTTTTAATGATATGGATTCATACGAATGTATATATTCTCTTATATATCTGCTTAGCTTTTCAAATAAAAATGAGCAGACGTAATGGAAAGTTCATTTTTTTTTAAGTGATAGTTATGGACTTTGTCATGATTTTAGTAGATAAATCTATTATTTGGATAATGATGTTATTCTGATTAGAGAACTTGGCAACTAGGATACAAGAGATTTTATTCAAGTAATTTATCTATTTACGCATGCCATTGATATTTTGACATAGATATTCGTGTAGGTTGTCTATTTACTTGCTCCCCCTAAGTACAGAATACCACAAGAAAGGTTAGATTAGATGCCATTGAATTAATGGTTCATGCATCTAAATTGGTAAATTCAAGTATCCAATACAAGATTGTGAGTTGTGAAATCAATAAACTTAGCAAATTACAGCAATTTGGTCTGAATTTCCACATCTGGCATTAAAATTGGAACATAGAAACTTAAGACAATTGAACAGTTCATTTCTCTAATGAAGCAGGAATGTCTTCAAAATAGTCAAATATCTCACTTGGGAAGTCCTCAAAGAAGCCACTTGCTGGGGTTGAACTCTGAGCAATTCCTCCCAATGCAAGACATGGCAATCTGCTCTCACCTTTGTTGCTGCTGCTGCTGCACACATATTCTGGAACCTTGTGCTGTTCGAAAACATCAAAAAAGACAGCATCGAATGGCTCTGGATCGACCAGGCCATGGCAGACCGGCGGCAAGAGGCCATAGTCCACTTGGTGGGACTCAGTGGGAAGTACTTGAGAAAATGTGTAGTACTCTAATGAAGACTCGAATGATGGAACCATGTGTAGTGGAATGGCCTCCTGTGCTTCCAGATTCTGAAACTTCTCCGATGGGTTTTCCTCCAGATGATTTGAACTGCATGAAGGAACCTGAAATCCACAATCTTGCTTCTAAATTAGAATAATATCATTAGAAGCTTAGATCTTCTTTTATAGTTACTTTGAAGATAATAAAACTTTTGATTTCTCAAATTTACCTCAATTATCAATTTAGTTTCTAAAATTTATTGCATTAAGTTATTTCTTTTTCATACCTCTTGAGAACTAATCATGTATGGTTATGAAACTTTATAGACTTGATTGACAAAATTTGATATTCAAGGACCGATTTTTTTTTGGGCTAAAATTCAAGGACCAAAATTGATAATTGAAGCAAATTTGATAAATCAAAAGTTTTATTATTCCTTTACTTTGTAAAATCACTGAAACTTTTGGGGAGACTAAAACTTTTGGTACCTCAAGTTTACTTTGATTATATACTTGGTCCTTGAAGTTTAATTATTATCAATCAAGTCCCTGAAATTTATTGTGTTATTTCTCTTTCATGCCTTAAGAACTCATCATGTATGATTATGAAATCTAGGGACCAAAAATCGATACTCAACCAAACTTGAGTGATTGGAAGTTTCATGTTATCCGTTTACTTTGTAAAAACATATGTTTCTACCTCATCATACATACCTCTTCAAATTGTGGTAGATTATGATGATGAATATGAGCTTTTTTTGTTGCTTTGTTATTCTTAAGTGGCTTTGATGATGGAGATGGTTTCTGTAACATTCTCTCCAACCTCTTTCTTCTGCTACTCCAGAAATTCTTGACATCATTGTCTGTTCTTCCTTCTAAGTATGTTGCTATTTTGGCCCACTTGTTTCCAAACTGTGCCTGCAATTCTATCACCGCTCTTTCTTCCTCTGCTGAGAACTTGCACCCTCTGAGAAATTTCATTCAATCACAACACACACAGCGATCATTTTCTTGCAAGCCAAACAAATAAAACACGCAGATAAATTCATCAGTGTCTGTTTGTTTTCAACAGACATATTAATCTTATTAAAAAGATCTCCCTACCTCATTTTAATCTGTCTATCTCATTCGAACAATTAATGACTCTCAAAAAATCATGTATGCAGGATAGGCATGAGACATGATTATATATATAGATAAGTAGTATAGTCTGTGTTATATGTTTGACAGATAAGTTAGTTTTTGAAGAAGAGATGATTTATAGTAAAGAAACTAATAGCTTCTTAGCCAAAAACACACATTTTCTTGCAACCAAACACATTGTACAGATACTACACAAGAATCTCATACACAGACACAACAAACACTTCATGCGATGTGACCACTCTCTCTCTCTCTCTCTCTCTCTCTCTCTCTCTCACACACACACGAATTGATTAAAAATAAGAGGGGAGGGTCCAAGTATACCTTGTGTTTGATATACTCTTATGAACTCAGTACGGCTTTCCTTCATGATCACAATATCACAAATATATTAACATATCAAAGAAGGCAAAAAAAAAAAAAAAAAAAGCAAAGAAACAAGAAGAAGAAGTACTTCACGGCAACATTGTATACAAAGTAATCAAAAGAATAGCCACTTCTCAATATTTCAACTAGTTCTTAATTATGCTAATTAAAATATTGCAGAAGGCAACAAGCGTACTACAACCAAAAAAAAAAGGTTCTAGTCCACTTCTCTAACAAAGTAAAGAAAACCCACAACGAAACACAGTAAATTAATAAAAAGAAATACAAAAGTTTAGCAATCTTGTTGACACGCAACTAAAAAGTGAAACCAAGATACAGAAAAATGTTATCAAAAGAACACCAACACATCACAAAAGAAGAAGAAGTTCTCTATTTCAGTACTACGAGAGACAGTAAACACGAAGGCAACAACAACCTAGTCCACTTCAAAAGGTTCGATCATGCATGTGAGAACAGAGATACCCACAAAAATGGTGTCATCTTACGTACGTCTTCAAGTTTGGCCTAAGCTTGTTAACCCATCGAAGCCGGCATGATTTTCCGGTCCGAGGAAGCAACCCTTTGGACCGAATGGAGCTCCAATCTCTTGGACCGTTTTTCTTGACATGTCTCATCAGAATCTCATCTTCTTCAGCACTCCATGGTCCTTTCTTTATGTATGTTCCTCCACCGAACTCTCTCTCTCCATCATCATCTTGCTCTTCTGGAAACATTATTTCTGAGTCTCAAGGTTTCATCTCTAAGAGAAAAAAAAAAAAATAGTCCAAAGCTCTGCTCTGCTTTCTTCCAATCCTTTTTCCTCCTCTTCTCAATAGGGTTTCTCAGAAAGTGCTCTCTATTTCATGAAATGCTGATTGCGAGAATTGTATTTTGTTCTGTTCATGTGTTGATGATTTTGTAGAATCACTGTGCACTTGCGAGTGTATCGGACCATTTTGAATGAGTGGGCCCAGTTAACTCGGTTTTTTTGTAAATTCTGACGTGGCGGAATGTTACTGGGTGGTCGTTTTAGTCTGGGATACAGTGGATTGTTGTCCCCACTATCAGTAGTGACGGTTTTGACGGTTAGTGGGAACATGACAACCCGCCTTTGATCTCTGTTCAAATTGATCTAATTTTCTTTTTCTTTTTCTTTTTATAATTTTTAAGATATATATAAGGTTATTCGATAAATAATCCTTTTATTGACCCACAGGGACAAGGCAAAGACTGATAACAAATGAATAAATGGTATGTATATTTATTGAATGTGTGTGTGTAAATTAAAAGCAAAGAAAAGCAATAAAATGATCTTTTGCCCAGAAAAAAATAATAATAAAACAAATATTCTAATGTTCCTATAATCATAGAAAAGGTGCAAATGAGTAGCGTCATTTCACTTTCTTAATAAACCCATCAATTGATGTCTCATTGAGCCTAAACATGTTTATAGCATACTTCCTCTGTTTTCAAATACAGTAGTGCAAAAAGAACTTTTTTTGCCACAATTAAAAAGCATTTTTCATAATAGAAGATATACGGTATATAGTGAAAGATTATGTGGTAGTAATTGGTCTATCCCTTAGATAATTTTTGTTTTAATATCTGATGGATTTACCCCTAAGCTAAAACTTACTCCCTCCATTTTTATTTATAGGAGAAACTACTATTATTTATTTATTTTTTATATAAATAAAATCACTTATTTCAATATACATTTATTACGTATTTCCTAAATTCACCCTCATAATTTACATTAATGAAAAATAATTAACGCATGCTTATATTGATTAACATAAGATATTTTAGTTTAATTTTTTTATTTTCAGACATAATTATTATGGTTATCCAACTTTTTTAAATTGTATGATATTTTTTTTTCTTAATACAGAAACGGAGGGAATGTTACATAATTTAATTTGAAAACATCAAAATTATAATTAATAACTTAATTTAATAAGTCAATTTATTCAATTTTAGTTAGACTGAATTAATTTTTTCTGAACTCACACATAATTAAAAATTTAATTAAAAATTTATTTTAATTAAAAAATTTTATTAATTCATTTAATTTTATTTAATTTTCACTTAGGCATTTATGGCTACAGTTCTTTTATAGAACTGTAGCCATAAATGCTACATTTTTTAACTTATTTATGCATTTTTCATTAAGTTTAATATTATCACAGTTATTTAATAAATTGTGGCAAAAAATTATGTCATTAAAATTCATGTTTGCACTAGTGACAATAGTTAATTTGGGGTTTTGATTTGAGTTGTTTTGCAAACAATTGTGATCATTATAACTCATTTGCAATTGAATTTAGGAAAATGATAATTATATATTTTGTAAAGATGCTAATGACAATTGAAGACCTTAAATTATTGAATGTCATGGAAGGAACTATAATCTTTATTTGTAATTAATATAAATAATTATTAAAATAATCAATGGAACGTTACTTGTGAATCTAAGTAAAGTTAGTTGTAAATTGAAATAAAGTTACATGTGAATTAATGACAAATCAATTATGAATAGATAGATATAGTTTCGTGAATTTATGTGTAGTATTATATATGAATTTAATGATAATTAGTTGTGAATTTTAGGAATAATTCATTAGTGAATTTATCAAAATTCAACTGTCAAATAAATAGACAATCTCATAAATTTATGCATTAATTTAAAGACACATGTCAATGGTGAATTTAAGGAATGTCAATTGCTACTTTGCAAAAAAAAAAAAAAAGAATGTCGCTTATAATTATAAGGAACGTCAGTTGTGAATAGATATAAATAATCTTAATGGTAAATCAATGATTTTAAATTTTATGGACTTTATCTATTCACAATTGACATTTCACAAATTTAGAATTAACTTTATCAAAATTCATAAGTGATAATGTATGTATTTATGAAACTATCTATTATTCATTACTTTTTATATATTCAGAAGTGATCTTTATAAGTGACAGTTTATTATATTGGTTATTTAAATAATTAAAAATATTTTAATTGCAAATAAAAATGTCGGCCCTTCTCTAACATTTCAATCTTTAATTATCATTAATGTTTACAAGGCCCGTAATTATCATTTTCCCTTGATCTTTTAAAATTTGCAATTAGGTTTCCACAATTTTAATACTGGATAATTAATCCAGTACACCGTTGTAGTACTATGTTCCATGATTTTAAATTTTACACAAGTTTTTTTATTATCACTTATCAAGGCATACATAATCCTCTCAAATACTTATCATATTTAAATAGTCTGAATTTTTTTTGAATAGTTCGGTTAAAAAAAAAAGAACTATTTTATGGAATAAAGAATTCAAGAATGTCAATTTTATGATTATTTCACCCTTGAAGGCCTAGTGGCATCAACATCCAATCCGATGAATTCATTTCAAATGCAAATTTTAGAATACCAAAAGATTATTACATTGGAAATTGTAAAACAGGTATCGGAATAACTTGTATGGTTAATTTTTTTAGTATTTTCCAATTAAAATACCAATTCTTTATCCCCTTTTTTTAACTCTATTTTGGTTCTATGTTAGTATTTATTTCTAGGCTTATCGTATTACTCTTTAATATGCACATTCATTTAATTTGTTTTAGAGCATGAGTATTTCCACCGATTAAAAAAGAACTAATATCTTTCAAGATAAACTACTTTCTTTTTTTCGCTAATATTTATTTAGCCGAAGAAATCCTAATTGAGTGATTATATTTTTTAAATATTAGACATAATAATGATTGATTTTATTTAATTTTAATAACTTTCAATTAGAAAAGATATACATATGGTATTGAAGTTTTATCCTTAGTTTGTCATAGGACTACATTTGGAACAATTCATTCTCAGCTCATCCTTTTAAATTCTTTCTCATTATAATTACAATATTGCCAGAAAGAACATGTGCACGCCATGGCAGATAGCTCCGGCAAACTCTTGCCATCCCACGACGGCGATGACGGCATAAGGAAGATGAGGGCAACGTCGACGGCAATGCCAAGAAGAGAGGTGGTAATAGGGGGGAAAGCGAAGCAACAGCAAGCCAGGTATATATCTTCTATCTAAAACATTACTAATTGAGCATCACGATCAACCAATTCAAATCGAGTTAAGTCAAATTTATTCGTATATATTATATTAATTATTACAATACAAATGGCATGCATGAAGGTGGAAGAGTGGAAAGAGTGAAAAAGTGATTTCCATACTTATTATTTTTAGAATCACAACTATTGTATCAACTTATTTTACTAAAATACGGCTTTTTTTTTATTATGAAAAATTAACATGCCATGCATATACATATACATATATATGTATGTATGTATGTATATGTATATGTATGTATGTATGTATGTATGTGTTTATAGGTTGTCAAGACTATGAAACTACCTGAAGATATGGTATATGAAATCTTCTCATGGTTGCCGGCAAAATGTATCTTCAAATTCAAGTCATGTTCTAAATCTATATATAAATTTACAAAGAAGATGTTATAGTAATTGTGTGTGTCAAAAGAAGTCCCACATTGCCTAAACAAAAAATGCTCCTAGTATATAAATATTAAGAAATGAACTAGTTTTGTAAAATGAACTTGGAAGAAAAGAGGAGAGTTTCTTGTGTACAAGTTCAAAAGGCATTGAGTTTTTTTTTTTACTAAATTATTTTTACAAAAAAAAAACACATAATTATTTATTACTGAAAAACCTCATAGTTTGACTTCAAACCTTAAGTGTTTTTTGGATTTGACTGAATTCTTAAACAGAAGAATCAATTTCTTAAACATGTTTGTCCCCCCAATTGTTTAAATGTATTTAATGTTTGTGTGACCAAAGTTTGATGGTGAATTAATCCAATGATTGCTACTCCAACATTCGTCCAAGACTTTGATCTATATATAGGCATGCATGTAGATTGAACTAGTCACCAGGCTCAAGTTTTTGAGCCATTTCTTTTCTCCTCTACCTTGTTTGCGTGCTTCATCTGAGTTTCTTTCCTACTAGTGCTGCTATTTTGGTGCCTTGCCTATGCAGGAAGTGCTTATTTATAATTTTGAAGAACTGTTAGTTCATCATCCCAGTATGCCAGAACAGTTTTTAAGGACAATGTTCTTTAGCACGACTTAAGCAGCTCTTGGTTTACCTCTATACAATCAATAGGAGGCACATTTTGTAATGAAGTACACTCAAAATTTGACCCTGCAAGATGTTTCTTCTTCTTTCCTCTTTCATTCAAGGAGTAGTCTCTGGATTCTTTAGTGCCTACTACAAAACCGAAATACATGCATTACCCGGAAACTCACCATTATTCCTAAAAGGTCCGTGAGAATCATTTCCTCTTTCTTTAGTGCCGCTGCCGTCTGGTATCCCTAAAAGCTTTCTTCAATTTCTTAATGAAAGGTCCGTGAGAATCATTTCCTCTAGTAATGGACTGCTTCTCTGTGAAGTCGTTAAACCAAAAAGAGGGTTATTTTTTTTGGAAAAAGCCAAAAAGAGAATTGATTATTTGTAACCCTACAACACAATCATTCTCCTCCATTATTCCTCTACCTCAATATTTTGAATAAAATTATCCTCGTGCATACTTATCATTAATCACATTTGAAAAAAACCCTATTGCTGATGAGGAATATAATTATGAGTTACTTCTTTTTGAACACTATCCATACGAAGGAGGATCGCATTATGTTGAGTGTAAAACTTACAAGCCAAAAG